CCCAGCCTGCGAGGGGCGATGGGGGTATGTGGTGAGTGGGGGCGGGGGCGGGGCCGAGAGTTGTGGGAACGGAACGGCTGTATCGCTATTTTGTGTTTATTTTATTATTAAAGTTTTGTTTGTATATATACAACCAACTTACCTCTGTCCCATGACAGTTTTCCGGCATCCCTCCTCCACCCCAACTCCTCACTCTTAACAATTCTCATCCCAAATTAGCGATAAGTGGAGATCTCTGGGTTTGGGCTATATTCCGGGCTCGGAGCCCTCCTTTGGGGCATTACGCCAAATATACTTACTATTTGCTCAATCCGATTATACAGTCAAAAAAATTTATTCAGACACCTTCAACATTTCTCACATTATCACAGTTTATTCGCTATAGTTTAGAAAATGATAATAAAATATGAAAAGAACTCAGAGTTCAACTGTGTCAGAACAAATTCATCTTGATAATATCAGATAACTTTGATAGAAAGGTATGTAATGAATTAAGTTGAATAGCTGTCAGCTGTCAGGTGTTAAATTTAAGTACACAATCAGATAATACCAATTTAAGTAAACCAATTACCAAGCAATGCTTAATTTTATTCAGTCTGGGGTGTAAAAAGGTAGCATTAGCAATTAAAGAAAAACACTTAAGCAACACATGATCAGGTCAAAGTGTCTGAATAATTTTACTTCCCAAATTTTTTATCAGTTTTACTGGTAGTCCACTGTATGAAGAATTCTTTGGTATAATATGTCATAGTTTATTTTATTTTGCTATCCTCACTTACATAAACGAACTATAGTATCTTGCACCCACTAGTAAAAAAATATCAAAAATTATATCTGGTGTCTGAATAATTTTCGGTTTGACTGTATGTAAATGCAAACTCGTGAACATGTATATATATACACACTATATGAAGGATCCTTTGGGACACTCTTCATCGCGCTGCAGTGATTCAATCGCCCTTAGATTGCAGCCTTCGAGGATGCAGCCTTTGAATTGGGACGCAGCTGAGGTATTTGCACTTGACCATTTGTCTACTTACATGACGTATTTCCTGTGCTTAGCCCAAGTGTTCAAGTGGGCATGAAGACCACAGAACATGATGCATGATTGGTTACACTTACTTCCTGTTGTGTGCTTACGCTCTCAAGAGACCAAGACTGCCAGTGTGGGAATTTGGACAGGCCCCTTCTCTCTTTTATTTCATGCGCCTACATGCAAATGTGTAGGCGTAACTACTTACACACATATAAAATATTAATTCATTAAATGAACTCAAACAAATGATTAATAACCATTATGAGTTAACAGGAAATGAATAATGAATTGTTTATTTTTTTAATGTAGTTACTTTTTTCAGAGAATAATTTTGTCTACACTGGATGCAGAGAGACACGATGTGACACAACAAATCCCCAATAGTAAACTGATGCCCCATTGGATTTCTGATGTACTCCATGTGCGAGAAATGAAGGACAAATTAATATGCAATGGTCACTTTGTTGCATCCAGTGTAGACACCTTCCAACTGTTGTGGTGCAACACAACAGCTGAGACCTGTTGGAAAACTCAAACACTTAATATAGGTGCTATGGCCCTGATCACATGTATCACAATCCTGAATTAATGTTTGTGCAAAATTTTATACACAATAAACATGGAATGTAAACAATAGTTAACTGCCAGGTATGTTCTGTGTTTCTGCATGTTGACAGCGCTCTGCACAGGCAGTAGTGGAGCACAGTGACAGGATCTTCAATGAGCTCATCCGCTCCATTCAGAAAAGACGAGGTGAGGTGAAAGAACTGATCAGAGCTCAGGAGAAGAAGGAGATGGTACAGATTAATGAACACATACAGAAACTGGAGCAGGAGCTCAGTAATCTGCAAAATGAGAATGATAAACTGGGGCCACTTTTACATACAGAGGATAACATTAATTTCTTTCAGGTATGAATAGCAGGTAACACTTTACAATAAGGTTCCATTAGTTAATGTTACTTAATGTATTACCTAACATGAACAAACAATGAACAATACATTTATTACAGTATTTATTCATCTTTGTTAATGTTAGTTATTGAAAATACAGTTGTTCATTGTTAGTTCATGTTAATTCACAGGGCATTAACTAATGTGAACAAGCACAAATTTTGATTTTAATAATGCATTAATAAATGTTGAAATGAACATGAACTAAGATTAATAAATGCTGTAGAAGTATTGTTCATGCTTAGTTCAAGTTAACTAAAGTAGTTAACTAATGTTAACTAATGAACCTTATTGTAAAGTGTTACCGAATAGCATAATCTACAGAAAGGCTTTTTTAAATGAAATGCTTAAAATGTATTGATTCTATTCTTAAGTCTTTTTTAAGAGTTATTGTTTTTTCTTTTTAATTTCAGAATTACTCTTCTCAATCTGGAGTGTATCTGTGCAAAACTTCACCCAGAGATGTTAATGACCTCCTGACATTTGAGAATGTAGACAAATCTGTCTCAGAGCTGAACAGCCAACTGGTCAAACTCTGTGAAGAGCACATGGGCAAAATATCAAAGAAAGGTGAAGTAAAACTGTCAAGAACCATTCAGACTTTTACAAGTATGAAGTAGAAATGAAACGGTAGGATATTTCATATCACGATTATAGTGACCAAAATGATCATGGTTATCAATATTATCACTGTATTATTAAAATGTGCTGAAAATGTTCAAAAAGTACTCATACACACACTAAAATCATTTCACCAAGCTTTATATCGAAAGCCAACAAAGAACAAATAAAATTAGCAGCACTATGTACTTTTTGTTTGCATAAACATTAAAATAATTTAAAATGATGGCCTGAAAAAATATGTTGGTTGTGTACTACATATGCAATTAAAGTTGGGGGGGGGGTTGATATTTTTGAATGCACATTAGTTTGTTTTCCATATACCACTTAAGATTTACAACAGAAAATTGATGCAAATTTCACGTTGGTCTAAACACAAACGGCAGACAGGCTGACAGGTTGAATGAAAGCGAACAGGCTGAACTCCACTGTCTGACAGCAGGTGGCGTTTATGGAACAGCAGAAATAACCGCTGTAAATAAAGTAGTGCCGTGCTTATAAATGCTGCTTTATTAGGCAATACGTGGAGGAAAGATGAAAAGAAAATGCCATTGAAACTTTTCTGAAGAAAAAGTCAGTTCCCCCTTATGCATTAATTTATTCATACATTCTTTCATATACCCTCTCTCAGCACTCTGCCTTCCTTCATTTTTTCACACAAAACAAAACCTGCATGTT